ACAGATGTGGAACTCCACTCTCAGGGGATGAAACATTTTCTGGGCCATCAGGCTGCAGCGCAGCACCAACTATTACAAGGTTAAATCCCAGTTTCAGTGAGTAAACACGCTGGGCCAACATGCAGTGATTGTTCTGGAACAATAGTTCAGGCACTCTTAGGTTCTGTTACTTTGATGCCTCAATCAGAGAAACATATGCAAGGTTTTGGGATGGATAAGTTGGAGAGGGGCTGGCTTTTTTTCCTCAGCTTTTATTGTCATTACACTGTATGAAAGGGTTGGCATTATTTATTCCTCGAAGAAATCCTAATTTAAAGGACATTTAAGTTCATGTATGTAATTGCCCCGTCTCTCCTCTACCTGCACACTGAAGATCGGCTCCCCATAGAGCCGTCCTCATCCATGACTATAGCCAGGCCAAGAACAACCACATTTGCTGATGACACCACATGATGCCCCAGCAGCCACATTCATCACCAAGGACAGCTCCAAACTGTTTGACTTGCTGCCCTCAGGGAGGCGCTACAAACGCAGCTTCCTTCTAAAAGCAATAATCACTCTGAACTCTGCTGTGCACAGATTTCTTTAAGGTTTTTGTGCATTTTTTCTACTTGTTATGATAAGAACGTCTGTATTATTTTATACTGTATTTGTTACACTGACTGAACTGTTTCTGGATTGTGGTTTTTTGACTAAAATTTCACTGTAAGGTATTTTGTGACATTGAGGTTCATTGGCTTCAAATGAAAGCTGATCAATCTACACATTTATTCTGACTTCAAATATTAGTATATATCAAATATTATTCACTACGTTCAAACTTAGCTTATCTTATAAAGCTTTGTCGGTGGAAACGATGATTAGAACCATGTTATGACCTTTTAAAAAAGCCTGTTGCACCTTTACTAAACTACTATTGTATCTGTACGGATAAACTATTTCATAATAAACTATTTCACTTTAAAGTAGCATAAAATAAAGTAAAAAAAAAAAAAAAAAAAAACATCAACCAAAAAGAAACAAAAAAAAAACGTTTAATATTTGCATTGAAGGGATGCATTGTTAAAAACATTGCATTTCCCTCAATCATCAGTCTGGACTTAGGCTGCAAAGAAATTTGTCATTCAGGTCACTTATTACTTCAAAGCGTGCTTGCGTTAGCAATCATGTTTTTTAATTTGAGACTGAACCGGTGGGAAGAGAGAAAATGCTTAGGAAACATTTTTACAGCATTTCTGACTATTCAGTTGAAGATGTTTCATGATTCCCAAAGGCTTCTTTTTTTATTGCCCTAAATAAAACAACAAGATACAATTCACTTTGTGAAATGTTCACAAGAAAATCCCCAGATCTGTTAGAGTTTTAGGTTCCTCGCTGTATAAAGCGGTGTTTTAAACACTGCAGAGCTGAGGTAAGAAGCTGCCGGACAGCTGGGTGTGAATATGTGAATGCATCTGTGCCATGTTAACGTGGATGTTCAGTGCATCTGTTTTGCGGCTGGAGGAGAAAAAGAGAGAGAGAGAGTTTGTGCTGGTGCTGCAGATAACAGGATGGCCCCACCTTCATCTGTCCCCGCAGGGGAGAGCAGCACACGCACAACCGGAGCTCACGGTGAGAAAGCGAGATTAGGAAACAGAGAACGTCGCAGCAAATATGAGCAAACAATTTTCACGTTAATTAGCATCCCTCACCACCCCCGCAACACAGCGACCAAAGAAGCAGAGGCAAACGGGGACGAGCTTTGCTAACTTTAGGTCTCTACTCATCGGAGCTGAATCAGTGGCAGCCGACAGAAGAAATAAAAAAAGAACCTGCTGTGGGATTAAGAGCAAGTCAGGGGGAGTGGCAGGTTGGGGGTTCAGAAAAGGAAAGAGGGGGAAACAGAGAATGAAAAAGGATAAGTGGAGATGAAAGGAGATAGGAGATACGACACAAAAGTCAGAAGCAAGAGATGGAAGAACAGGAAGGAAATACGGGAGATAAAAAAGATGTGTGAGGTGGAAGGATCTAGAGGACTGCTTTCAAATCTGCTTCCAACACTCAACAATGGCTGACAAAACGCTTCAATCTGCCTACTGAGTAAATAGTCTAGTGTCATGGCTGGGTGGGGGCAAACCAGAGCCGAGTGACAGAGGCAGCTGTAGGTCACATAACTTAAATGATTTCTATTCAGGAAGAAGTAAGGTTAAAGATAAAGTGTTTGCTAAACGATTCACATCATTTAAACTTTTCCACGGTTTGTGATTCACCACTAGAGATGGACCGATTCATCAGCCAGCCAAAATTTTAGGCCGATATCAGCCATGTTCCTGCATCAGTATCCAGTGACGGAGTCCTGCCATTATAACCAATCACCAACCATTATAACTGAGTTATTCTACTCTGAATGGATTTCTATATACAGAGTGAAGTCATTGGATTCAAATTTAAATACATAAAAAGACATTTACTTTTTAATCATTTTAAATCACATCCTGATCATTTATTTAGGACATTTATTAATTTTCTTTTACATTTTATAATGATATTTTGCATTTTATATTTGAATAAATAAATTTAATATCCACTTATTTAATGGAATAATCATTAATTTATTTCATAAACCTCAGGGTCTTACATACTAACAATTGTAAAAAAAATATTTTCAGGACCCCCAACTGGTCTCTCATGACCTCCCAATGGATCCTGACCCTCCTCTTTGGAACCCATCCTCCAAAGCTCTGATCAGATTCCAAAGCAGCTGCTTTAAACAATGCTTACCCCTCAGTATTATGCTGCCATCACCATGTATCACAGCAGGGATGGCGTGTTCAAGAGTAGAGGCAATTTATGTCCCATCTATTTAATTTTGGGGATCATTGTTAAGGGAGTGCTGAATATGTAAAGCTGTAGCAACTGCAGATGAACTTTCCATTTCCTCTCAGTTCTAGATGAAGTGCTGTTTGATGATTCCGAGAATATGAATATAAGACAGAGATGGATACTTTAGCAAGTGATTGAATCTTTGCACAAATAAAAAAAATATTTATTCCATAATGAAACAGGCCTTGTTTATTTAGGCTGTGTTTAGGAAACAATGACTGTGATTCTCTTCTGGGCTGCAGAGACAAACACTTCTGGGAGACTCCAGAGAGATCCCACAGATGCAGCCAGCCACAAGGCGGACACTTCTGTGCACCAAACACACAGTTCATTTTTTAAATCAATAACACATTACAGCAATTCCTTCTGATGTAGAATCCAGGCCACCCAACAACACGTGCAGCTTTTCAGACCTCCTGTGAAACAAGGCCATACATTATAACCAATCTGTCCGGACTGATATGTTTGCCATCAGCAAACTACAAAAAACTTGCAACAAACCTGCAAAAACAACCATTTCTATGTTGCTAAAAAGCAGCAGTATGCAGTTCTGAGGGGGATGGGGGGGAGCTCCTGACTCGCAGTCGGTTCCACAGAGGTGAACAACCTCACAGCTTTCATTTCAATCTTTCTACTGCCATCAGCAGCGTTTCCTGCTGCAGCAGTGAGGAGGCCGTTAAACACTCTACCTGCTGGGATCTTTGTGTTCAGATAGAGACTCCTGGGTTGGTCAGTGGGGCTAAAACTGCTGTGTTGGAAAAGTATTATACAATGCATTCATAATTTAATCACTAAGCTTTTAATCACCAAAAAACTCAGCTTATTGTTTTGTTTTTTGATTTAACAAAAGCCTAAAACAGCCCCAACTCTGAGCCTGTCCATCTAAGCTCGGCTCAAATGACCAGTCATCTATTAGCAGCTTCCTTAATGGCACAAAGTGAAGCCGCTGTGGATCCGATTCCAGCTTCCCACTGACACATGCCCATGTGTTCCTGGGTGAGACGTACGGCTACAGTGCAAATAAAGTTAATTACCACGTTTCTACTCAATGAAAGGCATCCAAGCATGATCCTGCCACCACCATGTGTCGCCATCTTTCTGCCTTCCACTGATCACACACTGAAAAACACGGTTCCAGACCAAGCAGCTCCTATGGATTTTTTTACCGTTACAATTATTTCCCTTCTCGTGTTTGTGCATCCAGATTGTATTTGGATTCATGGTCTTTTCTGTCTGGCTGAGTTGGTGAATCTCATACATCTGTCCCATGCTAAGAAGCAAGTGTTAGCAGCAGTCCTGCTGGGATGAAGAAGCTGTGCGGACGCATAAAACCCTCAGGTCCTGGGCACAGCTTGGAGTTTAGGCTTGTGAAAGAGCTTAATTTTCACAGAAAAGGTTTCAAGGTGTATTTTTGGCTCCGTATGCAAAATTTTAAGAGTTTGCCAGGGAGAGCCGGACCAGTTATATCAAGGATCAATACAAATCAGACACACCTTGCTAGTTTCTCCTCCATTTTGCTCTCTGGACTACCGCCTGATGAAAAGGTTTCTATTGATGTCTGGGGGAGCTTCCTTGTGCTTTTATTTGCTGCTATCATAAATAAACACAAAGGGCTTTTTTCACAACCAAATTGAGCAAAAGCAAAGTGTAAAACACCAAATAATAAACCAAGACGACATGAATGTTTTAGAAAAACTCTATATGTAACCAGATTGAGTTACTCTGGAGTATACATTTAAAAATGTAAAATACCTTGTACCTTTAACCGCACAATATGCATCTAAGATATATAATGAGGTAATCCAAATAAACAAAACATGATAACAATAAAACTTATTTTAAAGACCAGTCAGTTTACTCCTCAGGTTAGGGTACCAACCGTCAGAGAGAAGTGGACTCAACAAGTGGATGCAGAAAGGAAGGAAGGAGGAGGTCTGCTCCATGGGGTGGATTAAGATTTTCAGAAAAGATGTTGTGCCTTGAACAGATCTTATCTGAAAGTGGCCGACTAAAACGCAGCTGGAATTTTCTCCCAAGCTTCTTAAAGCTGGATAGAGTGCAGAAAATCCCCAGCCGGTCAGTGAGGGGAAAGTATGCCTATCAGTCTCCAGACTTTGTGTGCCGGATGTGCTGCTCACCTGAAGAACGTGACGAAGAACTGCACCAAGTCCATAAAGTTGCTGTGCTGGGAGAAGGCAATCTGTTTAGAAAGGAAAATAGAAAAAAAAAAAACTGTTAGAAATCTGCTAGAACAAGGAGGATTTTACTGTGAAAGGTCAGCATTATGCAGCAGAACACACAGCCTGCAGGAATGTGGGTGACCTTGTACCCAGAGTGCTGCTGCAAACAAACCTCTTCCTGTTTCTGCATTGCTGACACTAAGTATTTTGAAAAACCATTTTATCAGACTTTTATAAACTAATTCAATACAGATAGGTTTCGTGTTCATGATTTCCTTTATCAAAGCACCCTTTCCCGATATGAGAAAGTAAATTATGAATTAATTCCTGTCTGGCAACAGGAAGTAGGCAATAAGACACCAGTCAGTAAGACATCACATCCCCATCTAAAGGAATTCAAAATCACAACAAAAAAAGTCTATCTGTAGGTGAGAGCTCCTACTAACTGTCTTGAACAAGTGGCCAAATACCAGTGAAGAAAAATCTGCAGGAGCGTCCATGTAGCCGTCTGTTTGGACGGCAGTATTCAAAGATACAAAAGACCTGATAAGTCGGCTACGTGCAGCACAACGGGATCATATGCAAGGGACGACGCACGGCTAACATGATTAAACACTGCCGGACCCAGGATGAAAGAGTCAGCTTCGCCCCCATGCCCCGGTGTTGTGATAGGTAGGTTCCCTGAGGGGATCTGTTCCCCCCTGCGATCATAGAAAAATTTCTGCAGAGAGAGCACAGCCTTTTTATTCTTTTTCATTACCTTTTAACAGATACCTGCGCTGAGGTCTACGTGTTATTGATGGAAGGAAAATCACTTCAATCTCTATCTGCCTGTTCTGACCATCTAGCTCGACATCACATAAACAAAACTGCATTAGACAGACAGTGGAAGAAAAGAAAAGTCATTGGAATTTATAGGTTAGATATTTATATACTTGAATGGAACTAGGACTCTGATACATAGGTCAAAAATTAAAAAAGACTTGATGCCACAATTGATAGTACATTTACTTTAGGTCCTGTTGGTTTCAATAGCCTTTTTAGATTAATAAATAACCAATTAAAACATGCATTTGTATTTATAAGTCTGTTTTTCTAAGTCTGATCAAAATTTATTTCATAGTCTGATGCAATTCAATGCAACACAGAAGCATAAATGGAAGAATCAGTCATTCAGAGAAATGTATGATGAACTAGAAACAGCCAGATTATGTTCTCAGAATCCAGAAGTGACGACAGTGTTTATCTTTCAAAGCTGCGGCCGTGTGTCAATAACTTTTTGCAGTGTTGCTACGAAGCCTGTTTCTTTTCCCCAAACTTCTCCGGTACAGCTGCCCAAGGTGCCAAGTCAGTTTATCTGATGCTCCCAAATCCCACATGTCAACAAGACGACGAGCCGGCATCGCTGCCTCACAACCACGGCCTGTCTGAGAAAATAAAACCATTAATGAATGAATGAAGAAACTTCCTTCCTGCATACGTGGGCAGAAATATTCTCTATATAATCATCACAAGTGGCCCTGCTCCGATGACATCCTGTCTTAATCAACGTTGCCACGGGCAACGCATGCAGTGTCGTTTTTGCCTCCCTACTCCACTCATCCTCCCACAACCTCCCACCTTCACCTCAAAAAGCCTCAAAACGAACGTTGAAACCTCTGGTGACACAACACTGCCCCTCTCTGGTGTCAAAGGAGGTACTGCTGCTTCTGCTGCCTGAGAACTCAGGTCTGTGATCCCAAATAAACCTTGGACCAGTGATGCTTGTTATTCTTCAGATTAACACAGAAATCCTATGCATGGGGAGGAAGGGAGAAGACCAGCAGGAAGAAAGGGGCTTTTCCTTCATTTTGGTTCATCCTCTAAATGAACAAAAAGTGATTTCAAACATTGAGACGTTTTTCTTTCCATGAGGGTTTTTCTGAAGGGGGCAGATTTTGCACACTCATGTAATCGGACATATTTGAATCCCTGAAGAGCTTCAAACCCTCAGACTATGTTCCTCTAAACTGGTGATCACTGAGAATAGGTTCAGAGGTGTCACTGGCCTCATTGAGAACTTTCTGAAAAGATGATGACAACTTATGAAAATATCAGCTGACCTCCGAGACATGAAGTTATAAAGGAAAGAAAGACAGAGCAGGTCATCGAAAGTTATTAGCTGATGAAACAGCGGCTGAAAGACAAAAGGAGACTGAAATGACACAACTGGAACCAGAAGGGGATCAAAACTTAAAAGATACCCTGTCTGAGCAAAAGGTTTGTCTTCTAGAAAATTGACTCTTTTACTTATAGTTTAATTTAAAACCACAGCTGTCACCTTAGACAACTACACACCTAATGAAGGAAAATGCCTTCAAAGGCCAACAACAGCACCTCTGAAACAGGTCATCCCTGACAACACATCTGAGAACAGCTACTGTTGCTGCTGATCTTGAGTGTCAGCCATGTTAAACAGATGATCACTAATCCCTGAGGGTTGCTTCTCTGCCCAGCAGAGACGTGTTCTTTAGGGGCTCACAAATGCTGGACTGCTGCAGGGTATGAGGAAGATAATGAGTCAATATTATTTTAATTGCCTCTAACGGCTCCTTCGTCTATGTTGGAGCTTTGAGAGACTGTGACAGCATCAATGGGGAGCGACCCAACAGGTTCTACATTAGGAGGATCTGTGGAAACTCAACTTGTGACATGGCTGATGTATCTTTTTTCTTTCTTTAGAATAAACCCAGTAAATAGACTCCTATTTATTTGTTTCAGGGGTTATTTTTAATTGTTTATAAGGAAGGAAGGAAGGAAGGAAGGAAGGAAGGAAGGAAGGGTCATAATTCTAATATAATTTAATATAATTTTCGATTAAAATATCAGGTGAGCCAAACTTTTGTTACTTCACTGCAAGTAACACATAAAAGTATATTTTTCCTAATTTAAGCAATATTACAGATGTTGCTGTGCCGGATTTATCAATGATTAAACAGCAAAAATGGTTTTAAGCCTTGACCAGGACAGCCAGCTGGACCTCTGGGCTTAAGGCAACATTGCAACTTTTAGCCACTAGGAAGCGCTACTGTGATTTCCAGGTTTGGTTCCCTAGAAAGAAGCTGGAAGCTCCGAATCAAACCGTCCATCCTATGTGTTTTGAAAACTAATAGCAATCCACATAATGTGTAGTAATTTGAATCAATGTTTTACAGCAGAATACGGTTGTTTTCAGACATCAACTAGAGTGTAGATTTCAGTTGGAGCCGAACTGTGACCACATTTTCAGGCCGCAGTAGTTTGGAGAATTAAAGTCCGATTGTGCTTTCATACTGACCCAAAATGGATCAAATTTAAGAGAATCTAAATTTAGCTCAACCTAAAGGTACAGGTGTGAAAACGCCATTTATGAGACTGTGGCAGAGGAGGATGCTGACTCTGCTGACTGCCATGGATGATGGAGCCAGTTCAACGACAGGCTGGTGCTCCCAAGGTGCAAAACTGGGGAAAAGCAGCAGGAGAGAAGAGGTGGACAGATAGAGCGTCACACTCAGCATGTAGAGTGTTTGTTTGTTTTTTAACCTTTCACATTGTTCTGATATGGAAGATCCTGCATTTGAAAACTTTGACAACTGTTAGGAAATCACAAAGCTGTGGAAGAGGACGGCCTTTATCTATAAATAGGTGTTGCGGTTTTAGTATTTCTAAGCCTGCAAACCGCAATGAAAAAAGACTGTCATTAGCTTTAACTTTATGTCAAACTGCTCGGCTTTTATCAGCAGGTCAAAGTTTTTACCAAATCTGTAAACTGGATGCAGACATAACCTGATCAGTGCATCTTTGTTTTTCCTATTTTCCCTTTTTTTTATATAAATATTAATTCATTCCTAACTAAAAAAGTTTGCTTTTTTCTTCAAGTTGTGGTTAAGTTTGCAGTTCCCCTGCTGCACAGGTAATAAAGATCTGAACTCCTGCTACCTCTCCTCTCAGACTGCTGTGACCAGCAGGCGGCAACTAGCGGCCCAGATAAACGCTCCATGGCTCCACAATGATCTGGGAGCAGCCCAGGCAGCTGATAGCTGCAGCTTCTACTCCTCCACAGCAGGGTGTCAAATTAGAGGCGGATCTAATCTCTACCATATCAGGACATGTTCACTAAGATCACAGCTCCTTAATGTAATTAGTCTGGGATTTGTGTTTAATTACAAACATCATTGCATTTTGGATCTATTCTCCATCGAGGGGGGAGACAAAAGAAACATGGGAACGGGAACTCTTTCACTGTAACTCATTTTGCTTTCATGATCCGACCTGCTCAATTTCATGCTTCAATCCGAGCTCCAGACTGGTAGATAAATGCTGCTGATTAATGGACCTCTCGGGTGGTTTGGTCACAAATCTGATTAAACACGAGCCGTGAAAAGAGTTCTAGCGACTTCCGAGCAGGTGAAAGCTAACAGCAGAGGTGTGAGGACAGTAAGCAGAGAGAGACTTCTGTGCAGCCCCCCCCTCTGAGGCCTGCAGAGTGAGCTTAGCTCCCACCCGCGGCCATCTCTGAATGCAGCATGTGTTTCAACTTAACATTCCACTTTGCCCTCGCTCCTTCGCAGTTCGCTGCTTATGAGGAGTTTTTCAGGGCTCCGATCTGCGCCTGCCAACACCGGAGGACCCACCACCTACGATTAGACACACTAAATCCAGCAGCACACACTGCAGCAGATCACTGAAGGCGAGAGAAGCACAAAAAGGGAAGGAAAAAAAGGAAATGAAGGGCTGTTAGTAAACAGTGAAAGAGGTTTGAGATTAGCAGCAGCCGAAGAGGAGGAAGAGTTTTACCTCTAAAAACTCCTCAAGTGCAAAGCAGCTGACCTGCGCTCTTAAGTTTCAAGAAGACGGGTGAACTCCTACATGATCCCACTCAGCAGGACGGATGATGAGGTGGATCAGCTCCGGATAAGAGGAGGAAATGCTCTCTTAACTTGGCTCAGCTGGCTGTTGTGCTTCGATGGTAGGCTAGCTAGCAGCAGCTGGACTGGAGCTGAGAAAAAACCCAAATCCCTCACAAAGCTGAGCATGGAGGCAGGATTGGTAGTTTTTTTTCCCCCTATAAACTAAGAGAGGGCAGGGGGATGGCGTCTCCATAGTGTGACCAGTCAGAAAGCCGCTCAGGGTGGAAGATGGCAGGGATCTCCTCATTCTCCTACTACACCACATCAGCCTGCTGGGACTTTCATTCACGCAGGACAGACGTCCTCTCAGTAATCAGAGGAGTGAACAAAAGGACTACAGTTCTGATTCAATCCAAGCTTTTAATATTTACCTTCAAATGTTCAGATGTTTTGTATCTTTAAAGCTAATTTAAATCATTACAGAAGCTCCAATGTCGACTTCAGGATGAATCTGAGGACTAAGCTTTGAAACCCTCCTCACGACCAGAACTTTACTAACCCTTTGGTCAAATGTCCAGGTTTTGCCACACTATGTTAAAATAAACTCGTACTTTTCAAGGTATGAGTTTGTTGAGATGCAGAAAGTCAGATTATTTTTCCTCAGGCTGTAGAGAAACCCTGAGGAATGGTTACAGAAGGACCAAGGCCAAGGTGCAGCTTGTAATGGCCGTTATCCCATCATTAGTGGGACTTTGGGTAAATGTTAGTACAGGGGTTCCCAAAGAGGGTAGGGCACCCTTATGGGGGGTTCGATGTAAATACAGGTGGGGGGCATCGCAGATTTGAACTGAGTGAAAGGAACAATTATAGAAATAGAAAAAGAACTTTATAGAACTTTATTGATCTCCTAAATGCACTGGAAAAAAGTCATTTTCTCTTAAAATAAGTGCATTTCTTCTTGGATTGAGGAGGTAAAAGAGCCTTTTTGCCAAAAGAACAAGACTATTTACATTTAAAATAAGAAAACGCAATTGTATTATCTTATTTCAAGTGCATGTTAACAAATTACCTTATTTTAAGAATAAAAATGCTCATTCCATTAGCAAACTCCCTCATTTACCTACTCAAATGAAGGGTAAATACACTTAATTTTAAGTGGGAGCAGTGTGGGGTTAAGGATCTTTGCTCAGGGAACTAGTGTGCTGCCCGTTCGCGATCAAACTGGGTACCTGCTACCCTCTCAGAGCACAAGCGCATTGCTCTGACCACTACTTCAACACTCCCCTAGTATATTTAAAGAGAGGTTTAAAAAATATATATATTTGAAGGCAATTGTGAATTCTGTTAATGAAAAAAGAAAAAAATTACAATTTAGTGATTGAAAGGCAATTGTAGTATATTTTACTGTAAAACACTTGACTGTAGTTGAGTTTCCTTTGTTTAACTATCAAGATTGTTTGGAGGGGGCACAAAAACCTTCTTTTAAATTAAACGGGAGTCCATCGAGAAATGTTGGGAATTTATTGGGATAAACTTTCCTCATCCTGAATGAACGAAAGTAAATCTACAGTACAATGTCTTCTAACCTCATTTTAGGCTCCTCCTTTTTTTCCATTGCAAAGGAAATATTAATTTATCTGCTACTTGGCCATCAATTGAATATCAGCAAATTGGTGCATCTCCAGAGTTACAGTGCTGTACTTCTGCTTCCTACCTGTATAGGTATAAGGTGAACAATAAACCGCTGAATTAAACAGGGTGCCTTTGACATTGTAGCAAACACAGGGTCTAATAAACAGCTCCAGAACTCAGGAGAACTGTTTTCTCTCCAACATCTGCATCAGACTGGTTTTCTAGACTCAGCAATGATTGTAGCTGAGCCACATTAAGACTCACTGCCAGCTCCAGGGACAGTAGACAAAGTGTTTTATTCACCTCAGCTGCCAGGAAGTAAAAACGACGACGCTAAAAATGCTCCTGGTCAGCAAAATAGGAAACTTCTTATCCCTGCTCAGGTTACCTACATCCCCAGGCTGCTCTGACAAAGCAGAGCATCATGAGTTTGAACAAACGTCCAGATCATAACAAATACAACAGGCACTATGAAAAACAAAGATATTCGTAAAGTAGATAACACAGCAAGTGGTCAGAGTTAGAGTCCAGTTTTTTAGGGCAACATAAACTCATAGTTTATTACAGCTTTAAGCAGTGAGGCTTAGCCTTATCTGGGATAAACACTGTTTTTCAAACTGAAGAACGGAAGGCCGAACCCTGTCCTGGTTCTACGTTCATCTGTCTCTCAAGTCTAGATGATGACGAATTATAGAAATACAACAAAAACACTGCAGCAGATGTTAAGTTTAAATAAATAATGTATTTACCATTAATTTCAGCAGGTAATTAAGATTATCTGCCAATGGAATGACTATTTTTACCCTTAAAATAAGATAATTAGATAACATGCCATTGAACTGCTGTAGTTGTTTCTCATTTTAAGTCTAAATTGTCTTATTCCATTGGCATAGTGTCACACTTACCTGCTCAATTCAAGAAAAAATGCACTAATTTTAAGAAAAAATGCACTTATTTGATTTAATTTTTATTGTGTAACTAAGTGGATCCCTGTTTGTTTTACTTTCCTGCCTTGGCAGCTTAGGTAATGGCGCTGTTGCACCTTGACGATTTAGCCAGCATATGCCTGACGTCCCAGAATCTTCTAAAATTCTGCCAATACACCATTATACAGTAGCTGTAAGTTAGAAACACGTTCAGCTGTCGTCTAGAACAGGGGTTTTCAAAGTGGGTGCCGCGGCACCTAGGGGTACCACGAGGTCACTACAGGGGTGCCGCAGGATTTTTTCATAGATTGATGAGTTTTGTATTGAATGTACATTTTTACATTTTAACTATTTTGTAGATTTATTTTGATGTAAGCAAATATATTCTAAGACGAGGGGCTTCATTTTATGTTTTCTTTACTACTTTGAAAAAAATGACAGAAAATAATTATTATCAAATAATGTCAAATAATCATTATAAGTTTAGGGGTACCACAGCTGGGTGGAAAAATGTGTAGGGGTACCTTGAGCCAAAAAAGTTTGGGAACCACTGGTCTAGAACACGTTAAATACATTGATATTTGTTGGAGATAAGTTCTTCATCAGTTACACATAAGTTATGCACAAGTTACTCATAGGTTTCGGATAAGCTAGACACCACAACTTATGAGTAACTTAGACTTAACATATGTCAACACTCAAAAAACTTACCTGTAACTTATGGCCCATGTATGAGCATAGGCTAGCATACATGCCGTATTTCGACATGTGCCAGCCTACTTCAGTATGCTCATAACTTATACAAAACTTGAATGGATCCATGCAGAAAACAAGGCAAGCGAGCAGCAGCTCCTTCTAGAGAGGGTTCACAAATGTCAACATCAAGACACATCCTGTGATTTGGCCAATAAATATCACCACTATCAACAGATTCTGGAAAAACTCCAGAAAATACATGATTTCTGCTCTTCAATGGCATGAAGAGGCTTTAAAAAAGGTCTGTGCTTTCTACTTTGTCATGTAGTGTGATGTTGTCAGCTTGCTGTTTGAGATGAAAACAACAAGCATGCATGCAGTGACAGTGAGGAGGAAAAACTCCTTTAAACAGTAAGAAACCTCCAGCAGAACCAGACTGCATGAGCAGCCTCCTACTGGGATTGACTCTGAGCCAGTTTCATGCCAAAGGGATGGAAAGGAACACATCCAGTAGGTCAGAGTCCATAGTAATGTCTCGGAGAGAAACAGGACTAAACACCAAAATTTGTTATCTTTGGGCTCAATCTGACCTCAGAAAATTAAACCTCTAAAACTGATTAAAATGAAAACTTGTGACCCCAACATCTTCATATTTGTCTGTTCAGGATGTAAATATATATATATAAAAGCAAATTAACCCAACGTCAGTTTCAGTAGTTCCATTTCTCAGTCTCCCCATACAAGCGGCTCCACCTTAACTTTTTCAACTTTAGTAAACTGGTTACAGCTGATAATGATTTTATATCTCAGCCAAAAGCAGATCTGTCGGGGCTTGAGAAACAGCAGTGGAGTCCATACTATGGGCGTGTTTTCTGTAAGAGTAGGATGCCTCATAACGAGGGTCTGCTTTACATTTAGCTTCTGCATCTGTCTTATTCTCCTCAAAGAGTCTTTTGTGGTCAAAGAGCTGTAACGCCTTTTTGGAAAACCTTTTCTCACAAAAATTCAGCTAAGTAGAGGAAGAACAGACTGAACATCAGGAGAAATTAATCAGCTGGCCATTTTTAATGCTTTTATAGGTTTCCACCAACCCTTTACACATTCTCTTCAGGGGATTGTATTTTTCAGCCCCCACTGAATGGTGTCAAGCTCATAAAAGTTTTCACCCTTCTCCATGTCATGTTAGCCATCAATGGTTCTCCCACTGCTATGGTTATAATTAGGTAGGGTTAGGCCAATATGTTTTTTAAAAATAAAAAAAAGAAAATCGTTGTTAAAGTGACCCCGAATTCATCAGTTAAAAATCCTGTTGTTTCTCAACAGACCCCTGTTATATACCAGGGGTTTGCAACCTGGGGCTCTGGAGCCACAGGTGACTCTTAAGACACTTGACGAGATATATATATATATATATATATATATATATATATATATATATATATAT